AAGTCTTAAGGTGGGAATATGCTTGGCATATTCAAGAAACTCTGAGGAGGCCAGTGCCCATGGAAAGGGGGGCAAAATGGGGAGCGTACTAGGACATGAATTTAGAGCCAGAACATGTAGGTGCCTGTAGATCCTAGCAGTAACTTTGGCCCTCACTCCTGGGTATCATCTGATCTGGATTATAATTGGGTCACGTTGGTTGCTGTTTTTAGGTTGTAGTGAAAGGAGAATGAAAGCAGGGAAAAACAATAAGAAGATATTCCAATAACCCAGATGAGGATGATCATGGTTGGTAGCATGTCGGAAATAGTGAAGGTGGTAGGAAGATGGACTATGGATATATTTTGAAGTTGAGACAACAGGATTGGATGCCAGTTCATGAATGAGTTATAAGATAAAGGGAAGAGTCAGGAACAAAACCATGGGTTTTGGTATGAAGAGGTCAGATGGAAAAGTCTGTGAAAGGAGATGGAAATTCGTCAAGGAGTGGGAAACCAAGGGTTCTACAGTCAAGTTACAGGTGAGATACCTATTGAATATCCAATGAGGATGTCACGTAGACAGTTGAATTAATGAGTGTGGAGTTCAGGAAAACATTATGGACTGGACATATAGATTCACCTAAGGAAAGAGAAGGATTCCAAGGCCTGAGTGCCAGCCTCCAATGTTCAGAGGTTGAAGAGATTAAAGACGGGACCATAAATGATAAGAGAAGGAGTAGCCAGTGAAGTGGAGGGAGAGCCAGGCATGTGCAGTGGCCTGCATACCAAGAAAAGAAGGTGTTTAACAGTCCCAAATGCTGCTAGAACAAGTTAAATAAGGACTTGGAACTGAACATCATACCCAGCAATCTGGAAGTCATTGCCAAACTCAACAGGAGCCATTTCGGTGGAGTAGGAGTAAGAATCTGATTGAAAAGAGTTTGAGACATGAGAAAAGAGTTCGGTTAAGTGCACACAACTCTTTATTGAAGGGTTTTTTTCTTTAAAGGGAAGAGTAAGCATGAAGCATCGGTGTAAGGGAGGGCAGAATCAGGAAAGATTTTGTTTGCTTTTTAGTTGTTTCATTGGTTTTGCAGATGAAAGAAATCGGAACCTATTTGCACGCTGCGAAAGATCATCCAGTAGAGAGGACAAAGTTGATGCACAAAAAACAGAGAATTTCTGAAGCAAGATTCTCGAGTAAGCTAGAGGGCAGAATTGAGTGCACAAGTGGAGGGATCGGTGAAGACAGAAATACAGTTGTCCACAAGAATGAGAAAGCAGGGAATATATCCCCACAGAGGCAGGCGGGTAGGTAAAAATGGAGCTGGGCCTCTAGACCTTCTCTTCAGATGGCTTCATTTTTCTCAGTGAAACAGGAAGCAAGATAATCATGTGCATATGAATTGTGAAGGTAGAGCTGAATATTTGTGGACAGAAGGAAAGTATGAAATTACTTTCTAAGGGGAAAGAGTCCTAGTACACAAGGAATATATCAGAATTCCCCCATTATGGGCCACGTGAGGTCAGTAGGCATGAGGTCAGTATAGTTGTGTGTCTTTCACCTGTTATGTTCAGTTGTAACAGAGAAGGTAACAGTGTGTGGAGAAGTGGACTTTACTATGAAACACGAGAGACTGAGGGAAGTTAAGAATATTTACAAGGAGTGTAATGACGAACTGTGAAATTTAAGATTGGCATGGTGGGGGGTGAGAAAGAGTGGAAAGATGGTAGGGTCCATGGATACCATCTCCTTGGTGGATGTGGGTGATGATTGGAATTCAGGTTCTAGAGGAAGTGCACTGGAAATATAGAAGGGAGTTGTTAGAGTGAAATTTAGATTTAGATTCAGCTTAGGTCATGGTTATTGACCTAATGGTTATTGCAAGTGAATAGCTGACAGAGGATGGCTCCTGGAAAGGGTTAGGAAGACCATCTTCAAGAATGTTAAAGTTGACAAGTACTTTGAAGGAGCAATGCTGAAAGGAGTGAAGTGAGGAGGAGCAACTATCTTTAATGAGTGAGGGGGAAGTGACCTGCAACAGGGGTTGAGTGCAACCGCAAGGGGTAACCGGTGGTTACTGAGCGATGCCTGACACGCAAAGTACCAAATCAATACGTTGTACACCTCAAATTCACATAATGTTATTCGTCAAATATATTTCATTTTTCTAAAAAGCCATTAGTCTGGCTGTTCTAGGTGTCCAACATTTTAGCTTGACCTTTACTTGGATTTTGTGACCCTCTACTTAATTTAGGTTTTAATATCTCTCATTTGAATCGGTTTTACTTTCACCTGCATATAAAATAATTTTCACTGGTAATAAAGCTGTGTAATGCCATACACCTCCCCCCACCCCCACCAAAAAAAAGTTGAAAAATTAAATGTCCCAGAAGCAGCAAAAAGGAGAAAGGAAGAGTTTCAGGGGCAGCAGCAACCTCGGAGGAGAGAGGTATCTTTCTTCTAGAGCAAGAAAGTAAAGAGACAATTCAGAGAATAGATTAAGGATGCAGGGGATTTTGCTGACAACTGACCTTGAGTATCAAAGGGCATAATACAAAATGTTATGGGAATATGGGAAAGAGTAGGAACTAGGGTCAAAGAAAGGTGTTATACAAGGTTTAGTGGGGTTGGAGTGTGGGAAATGAGGAATAACTTGGAAGTTTTTTCAAAGAAGGCACAACCAGATTAGTCCTAATTGTTCCCAAGGTGGGTAGGGTGGAGCAGCTGTGAGTGCTTAGGGGACAGAAGGTTGGTAGTGGGGGCCTTGACAAGAGACTGCCAAGCTTCCAATGGAGGCATGGAATCCTATGAGGGATGCAGTCTTCATGCCCAGGCAGTTTCTTCTCCTTGCATTGGTAGCCTACAGAGGGCATCTGTTTGAGGGTTCAAGCTACTCCCTGACTTCTGCTGAAGGAGGCTTCTGGCCAGAGAAAGACGTTTTGTTTCTCTAATCCCAACTAATTTGTCATTTCCATCCTTAAGTGGGCTAGAGCTTTCTTTCTTATGCTAGAGAGCAAATGCACTAAAGCACTTATGAAAAAAAAATCATTGGATCAGAAATAAGTCTGATGACTCAGTAGCTGGGGATATGGTGGTATTGCAAAAAAGAGGGAGATGCTTGATGACTGGTGTTGCAGAGAAGTCAGGCAAAAAAAACACATCCCAAATTAAAGTAGCTTCCCAACGGCTAATCCTGATGCCTGCAATGTCATCCTTAGAGAATCAGGGAATTTCTAGTCTGAGATTCTATGAAAAAAAATGTCACATTTTAGCAGAATGAGTGCAAGGTTTGACAATCCACTGATCTGTATGTAAATCCCAGCCAGGAAACTCATCAGCTGAATCATGTCCATTAACTTCTACTCAGTTCCTAACCTCTGAGTAGAATGTCCAAACATCACAGTGAGGGCTTTTCTGTTGGATGGAGTCATGTGCCAAGTTCTCATTTCTGCTTAGGGTGGCATGAAAATAGTCACTGGGTTGATTTGGGATACTAGGAGTGACTTTCTGTGTGAAACAGAAAGATAAAGAGAATATACACAAAGGGCAGAAGATATATGTGGACATCTGCCGAGCATGGCATATAATATGTACCTAGACCTTAAACCACCCAAATATCCTGGATCTCTCCATAATCTTCGATTCATAGTACTGTCTAGTGAGGTAGTCTTTATTTTGAAAGTATTTGAGTATTGAATATTAATTAAATAGGTATTAATTAGAAATGCTGTAGAGCTTATTTACCTCTAAGGTCTCTTCCACTTAACAGATCCTAGAATTCCACAAAATTGTGTGATAATTAGAAGAGTCTAGGCAAAACCATAAAAGTAGAAAAGCTTATATTTAGTGTTCTCCCCGAGGCATGCAGGCCCTCTCATTTTGCCTTCTGACCACTCAAGTGTGGCCTCCCCTCCCTACCCCTGGTACACCCACCCACAAACACATAGATGCCATGACTTGGAAGTAACCCGGTACCGAGACCTCACGAGCCTCTCACCATCCCACTTCTGAAGTCCCAACTCAGCTGACAGGGCACTGCCCATAAAGACAATGTAGGGAAGTGGTGAAGAACCCAGGCTTCAGTAACTTGTAACACCAAGTACCTTTGAGAAAGTTATTTAACCTTTCCGAGTTTTGCTTTTCCTGATGTCAAAGAGAGATAATAAGAGACTTGTGACTGTTACAGTACAGACTAAATAAGGTGAGCTGTTTGGTATAGTGTCTGGTGTGTAATAAGCATCCAGTAAGCAGTAACTATTTCCTTGCTTCTTTTTAGGATTATCACTGTTTTGTTGCTATATAGATTTTGTTGTGGCTGCTGTTTTTGCTAATGTTGATTCCCCCTTGATACGTTAGGATGCTGGTATCACTCCTCCGACACCATAGGCATTGTGACAATCACACACTGCCTAGCCCCCTCAGGATCCTCTGAGCACTTGGACAAAAGAGAACGCAACTAGAGTTTTCCATGTGCTTGTGCCCATTCACTTACCTGACAGCTTGAGAGACCATTAGCCCCTTTCAAGTCATACAAAAGAGGCATCAGCCTTGTCTTCTGAGGACCAGGGTGATCTGGAAATAGGTAGGTTACTTACAAGTCTGTAGTTACTTCTGATTACTCTGAACATAGCTTTTTTTTTTTTCAATTCTGGTTATGGATATGGAAGGTTTAAATTTATTTATTTATTTATTTATTTATTTATTTATTTATTTATTTATAAATCAAAGGTGCAAGGTATAATTCTGACGATAAAGGGCTTATAACCATAAATCATATATGTGAGAAAGCCATAGGCAAGTGTTAAGCAGTGGGCTGTTAGAGGATTTTGCATTCTATAAGTATATAGAGCATAATAATATATTTACACTTATTTCTTACCTGCGTTGGCTGTGGAAGGTAAGACTTTTCTCTTTGGGCTCCATAGTTATCTCCAGAATGAATAGTCCACAGTTGTCAAGAAATAACATTTATTAATCAACAATAAAACACACAATAGAAAAGGCCTTATGAATAAAACTATATATTTATAATGCTTTATTTTTTTTGCTCCAGTACTTCACAAAACACTACAGACAGTAACAAAATAATTCAATAAATATCAAAAACTTTCAAGAGAATCATAGGACACTCTTTATCATATGTGAGCATCAACAATGCCACGGCCATTAAATACACTATTAAACACTATCACAGATATCTTTCTTGAATAAGGGATATGATTAATTTTTTATATCCAGAAGTCATAACATTGACACATATCCATACACAAGAGAACAGGTCAGAATAAAGGAAGCAGATACCCCAGTGAAATGGAATCATCTGCCTGTACATCATTTAAAGATATTACAGTGTTAACAGGATAGAAGTCAACACACTAAAGAGAAATGTTGGGGTTTTCTTGGGGTTGGAGGAAGAAAGTAGGGCAATTGATGAAAACTCTTACATATTTTCCATTGCTCTCTTAGCAATATGCTCCCTTCCCTTTTCTGCCTTTTCTTGGTTGAGGTATTCCAGCACTTTCATTAACAGATCTTCATCCAAGTACTGTCTGTTTGGGGTATCATCATTCTTTGGGGGCCCCACAGGGAGTCTTTTGCTTACCGAGGCCAGCTCCTGAGAGCTGCCTTGGTTCAAATGCTCTTTGATGGCCTGTTCAATTTGGTCCTCGTCCTGTAGGTTATCTTCAGATGAGACTTGACTTGGAACTCGCTTCACCTGGTTTGAATTCATGATCTCAGGGTATTTCGCTAGCATCCTGGCCAAGTACTCTCCTAATTCTTGATCCTTGTCATTCAGGTTTTCATACGCTATTTGTCTGTTCTCAATATCCGGCATCCAGGTACCTTTGGGAAGTTGGTTGGCTCTAGATCTTCCGGGACCATAGGGGAATCTTGGCAGAAGTTTCTCTTGGTTATACTGACCAGAAAAATATGGAGGCTTTTGGTTTGCTGGACTCTCCATCCCTAAAAGATTTAGAATGTCCTCAACAGTGAGCCCATCTGGTAGGGCCTCTGCCACAGCACGACCGGGTGTTTTGGCATAGCCATTCTTGGAGAGCACTTTATTTTGGAACAGGTCTGGGCGGTCTACATCAACCTCTGCGATGTCATCTAGGTCAACGGGAAGTTCAACCTCCTGTTCGGGTTCCACTGATCCATTTGGCTTCTCTCCAGTTTTCAGCATATCAATTAAGTCTTCAGGGGGTATCTGTAAATTCCTTGAGATTTCAATCAGTTGATAAATAGACTGAGAATCAAGTGGTTTCTCAAAAAGCCTGGTTGCTCTTTCCCCATTCTGCCCATTCTGTGACCTCCCACTACCCGCAGCATTCACTAACCTTTTCAGGTATGCAATTACTTTGGAGACATCATCTGAGAGTTCGTCTTTACTCTCTTTGCGGGGATCTTCATCTTGGAGGCCCAGCTGTCCTGAACGCTTCACTTCATCGTTGATCTGTTCATTTTTTTCTATATTCTCTTTGTTGTCTTTTACCTCTTCCTGGGTTTGACCCTCTATCTTCTCTTCTACTGGGTTCCAATCTTCTCCCCCAACCACATCTTCATAGGCAATGTTATTGGCCTTGTAGATGTCATCTTCATCATCCGTGTACAGTTTTTGCTCCTCATCAACTCTCTCACGCTTCTGGTTGTTTGGTCCTGTCAGTTTCCCCAGCTCTTGGAATACAGATTCTAGCGTGGCAAGACTTTGAGGAGTATATTGTTCCTCTACTATTTCATTTGTGCGTTTAAAAGGGTTATCCCTGGAATTTTCCTCATACATAGGAGGGAATCGCATGTGCTTGAGCTTCCTTTCTGGCCACTGTTGAGTCTCATAATCATCAGACATGTCCATTGGAAAGTTCTTTTCTGAATTCAAGCCATAGGGCTTTTCTTTCAGTAAAGACTGAGGCTCATTCTCAGCCTGTCTCAAAGCTTCAAGTATTATCCTCATCCACTCATCTTCACTCAGGGAATCCCTTGTATTTTCTGGCAAATGACTTTCATCACCATTTTCTTTTTTCTGAAGGGGAACAGAGACACCTTGGTAAGGATTGTAGTCTGGGCTGTTTTCTTCCTTGTGAGCTTGTTGTCGGAGTTTTTCTATGTATTCTAAAGCTCTGATCATTTCAGGACTGGGAAACTTTTGGACACTTTCCAATCTGAGGTCTGGTTCCTTTTGAAGCAGCTGGTTTCGCTGAAATGAAGCTGCTTCATCCCCAGCGATGAGGAAAATTAAAGGGATGAGACACAGGGCTGCTCCAAACCGGTGAGTCTTAGCTTCTGCCATGTTTGAAAGATGTCCTTAAAGCATAGAAAATATGAGTTAATAGAAAGGAAAAACTAGAAGACACTATAGCAAAAGAGGTAACTGACCATTGAGGGAAAATATATAGCAGAGATTATTTCACATTACATTTAGGATGACTCTTTTTTAAAGCCATACATATTTCCTATATAACTCCCATAAGCTAACTACAAGAATCTAGCAAAATTGTTACCCAATTGCATCAAGTTTGCATGGCATTCACTCTGCTAAAATAATAACAAAAACACTGATATGAGGTTTCTCAGATTTTATTTTTTAATTTGCAAAACACGTAGGTTTTTTTAGTATGCACTGTCTGTTTAAATAAAAAATTTCCAAGCTGATTTTTAGTTCCCTTATATGGCACTCCTATTCAAATCATTGGAAAAAAATTAGCTGGCTTAATTGAAAACATGCATGTACACACACACACACACACACACACACACACACGATTTCCTTGATGTTGTATCAAAAATCCTGTGGTTTAGCTCCTGACTTGTACATCTGACTTTGTTGTAGAAACACCACAGCAGTAACATTATAAATGATGAAGTAACACAGCATCTTAATGTCAATCATACTGAATTGCCTTGTGGATGAGTTCTATTTACATACATTTTTCAGAAATAACTTGTTCTCACTCTGACACCAAACCCCAGCTGTCGGTTTTAAAAGTTCTCTACCTTAATAACATCCAGAACATTCTCTGGCCCCAGTTAGTAGGCTAACCTAGTGAAGTTTCTGTGTAAACATATTAAAAAGGAAACTTTTAAAATATCTGTGCTCCAGGCTTCTAATCATTTTATTTGTGACTGTCTTGCAAAATGCAATCATGGTTATATTTTTCATCAGCCTTCAAGAATGCATAGTAAATAATAACAGATGCTACAGAGAGAACATAAGTTTTCTTAACCAGTCTATTTCTGAACTTGTGAGTGTTCAGATTCAGCTTGACTTATGTCTGTGTCTATTTTGGTGTGGACCTGTGAAATCTTAAATGACTCATACTGCTAGAAAATCTTAAAATAACCACTATGTAATTCCCAATTTAGATAAACACAGATGATATGTTGAATTCTTCCTACTTAAAAATCTTCATTCATTTTTTTTCCTCCAATACCTTATAATCTCACATATGAATTAGCAAGGGCATTATTTTTTTTACATGTTTTACATTCAGCATTGCTAACATTGAAAAACTATTTTAATATTTGCAATTTTTGTTACAAATAAATGTAAGAAGAGCTCACAAGTTTATCCATGATATCTTATTTGCATGATTTTGTGATATATATATATATACTGTTTTGTGGGTATGACATTCTATTAGTTATCAATTATAGAAAATATCACTTTTCATCATTTGGTATTTTAGTAAGCTTCAGATTTTAGAACTAGCAGTGGTTGTAGTTATAGAAATTTCTTTAGCATAAATGCATATATTTATTAAAATGATCCCTATTAGTCAGATCACTTGATTTACTGAAAGAGAAAAATCTTTAAAGGCATGTCAGAGAAAACTTCTGAAATAATTACTATGAATTAATGTTTACTATAAGAAAGTTTATTCACAGATTTTTAGATTTAAATAAAAGTACATTATAATTTCTTCTATATATATTTATATATATATATAATTTTCAGGATTAATTTAGCTTTGATAATCTATTTTCAACATTGGAATTTGAAATAGTAATTTTAAGAACCTTAATGAACTTATTTACTTTGAAACCTTTATCCTGCAGTATTCTTAACATATGAGTTATGTGCTTGTCTTTAAAATCATTATCTTGTCGATGAGCTTACTGTAGAATTGGGGCAGAATGTTTAATGCAGGTATTTAAACCACAGCCTAACACATGCTATTCCTGGGTCATTTATAAGGTTTCAGTTTGGATGACATAGTTATTGCCTTTGAGTAAGACTCAAGGGATTTCTTTCCCAGGTAGCAGTTTTTCTACATGCAGAAGAAGGTTTCAACAGCTCTAATATCCTATGTACAATTTGAACTAATGTCTCATAAGCTAAAATGTCTTTTCTACTGAAAGTAAAACTAGGAACATTGACAAATACAGGTAGATATATCTAATTTGAGAAATTCCACTAATTAGGATATAGAAAAAAACATGTCCCATTAAAATTTTTCAGCAAAATATTGTACAACCTCTTTCACTCAAAACATAATAATCATAGCTAACACAATTGCAAATGTTTTCCTCATGGTAATTCAAAATTATCAACTTTCATATCCAACCTATAACCCAGGATAATATTCCTCCCTGAATAAAAGAAAAAAAAAACAGTACTCAAGATAATTCTAGTCTTACTTTCCTGGGGCCAAACCTAAGAAATAACAATGTAAGCCTTTCAGACTATACCAATTCAGAAAATAATTTTATATAGGTTATTAATTTTGAGCTCTCGTATGGTAAATGTCAAAGGAAAAGAAGAACTAGTTCCAAAACTGGTTGCCTCTGTGACTCATGTGTTTAACAGCTTTGGAATGATTGGAAACCTACTGCTAAGAATATTAAACAGATAAATTATATATGTCTGGCTTTGTATCTAGTTTTTAAGAGAAGAAACAACACATGAAGGAAAGAAAAATATCAGGGCTGGTTAACTTTACATTAATTGGGCATTGAGATTAAAATCCTTAACTTTTTCACTCTTCTTACATATGGTTATCCAAATAGCATGGTGGTCATAAAATACTTAACAGCAAGTATCAGTCCTAGGTTCATTTCTATAGGTACATATCGTGCCCTTACATTGGTTGAAGAGCAGCAGGTTGCTATTCAGTGATTCTTTAGATATAAGGTTGCCAAAGGGTCTTTTTTCTTCTCAGCTAGGAATAAGGAAAGAAGACGCAATTTAGAACTTTCCAGTAAATCCAAGGGAAAAGCGGTCTTACCTCCTTTTTACAAGGCAGGGGAGGTCCAGAGCATGTTCCTGCGGGTCCGCCTGGCGAGCTGCTCGGGCCGCTTCAGCACCCGGACAGCTCCTCGGCTTATAGGGAGCCGCCGGCCTGGTCCGCACTGCCACACTGACGTCACCGGCTCAGCCACAAACCCCAGCACAAGCGAGTTTTTTCAAAGAACCCGAGAGAAAATAATCACTTTATATATTTAAGGGAGGGGGGGAAATGCTGCATGCTTACGCCACCTGCCTTTCCGTGGCAAAAATTGCAGTTTTCTTTTTTCTTTCATCAAAATTTTTGAGGCTTGGGATAAAACGCTCTGCACACATTCCCCTTAGAAATAAAGAAATCTGCCAGACAGACATGGCTAATTGAACTGTAATCTCATCCGTGTTCTAATATCTGGTGATACGTGTTTCTTGATGGCTATTGTTTTTGTCGTTGTAAAAAAAGTTTTACACAAAAGGACTTTTTTTTTCCTTCATTGCCTGCAAAGAAATCACATTACCGTTCCCTGGTATACTCCAGGAGGAATGGAAGGCACCTTACGAAAATGAAAATCATATTTCGTATCATGACCAGAAGCAGCAATGTTTTTAAACTCAAATTTATTTGAATAAAAAGGAAAAACTCTCTCCTCTCTCTCTCTCTCTCTCTCTCTCTCTCTCTCTCTCGTATGAGAATAAACTTTAAGGCTCTAAGGAGTTGAAATTTTGCTTTAGAGCTACAATATAATTTTGAAGTGGTATCCCTAAGATTTCAGGTCTACTGGTTGGTGATTCTATATGAATCTGTTGGTATCTTTTACAACATCTGTCTCAAAAAAGGAAGCTTAGAAGCTGAGTATTAATGAAAATACTCCATTAAATTAAAAAAAACAGATTCTTTAACTGTTAGAGAAAAATATAACACATATGTAATGGGAATTCATCTGCAAATGAGAGGAAGTTGAGCTATAAATATATTCCCCCTATGGAATCAGATGAATGAATTGAATACCCAGGGAATAATATAGTAGTTAACTCCCAACCTTTCAGATTTGTAATTCATGACCACAGCTCTGCTTTGCCAGATAGCATGATTATTTATTTTAATGATTTATATAAGTCTAAATTTTTAACTATTTTATTAAAGATGTGTTTCCTAAAAACTATGTTTTGAAACATACTCTAAATATTAAGGATGAGCACTGGGTGTTACACTATATGTTGGCAAATTGAACTTCAATAAAAATAAATAAATAAATAAATAAATAAATAAATAAATATTAAAAGTATCTTGTTGTATAAGAGATCCCTTTAAATCTCAGTTAAATAAATAATCAGCCACTGATTTATCCATCCAATAAGTTGTAATGCCTACTAAATGCCAGATACAAAGATGAATTATATATGTATGTTAGCTTTTGTATGATATCATATATATGTGTGATAGCTCTTTATGATATCACATATATATATATACTTTTAAGGACCCATAAGCTGGTGGGGATGACAGACTAATTATTTTGGCATGAATTGGAAAGCACTTGGGGATCCCTGGGTGGCGCAGCGGTTTGGCGCCTGTCTTTGGCCCAGGGCGCGATCCTGGAGACCCGGGATTGAGTCCCACCTCGGGCTCCCGGTGCATGGGGCCTGCTTCTCCCTCTGCCTGTGTCTCTGCCTCTCTCTCTCTCTCTCTCTCTCTGTGTGACTATCATAAATAAAAATTTTAAAAAAAAGTTTATGAATTGGAAAGCACTAAGAAAGAGGTTAGCCAGATGAGTTTGGGAAGCATTGTGGAAAGCTATTTGGTTCCATATTCAAATTCAAGGGAAAAATTCGGGGGGGGGGAGCCTCCTGGGAAAAGAGCCTTCACTTAGATATGTCATTATCAGGTTTTATTAAAATGGTTTCCAAAAAATAAAATAAAATGGTTTCTAACTATGTTAGGTAAACCACAGTTCTCTTGAAATCCTCAAGTAAATAGGAATAGTTTAAATTTTAGGAAAAAAACAAGGGAAAATTAAAATTACCCTTGATTTTTCCCTTACTCTCCTATTGAAAATATTTGATTTTTCTAAATGACCAGACCAGCATCATCTATGGATTGACATGGAACTGATACAGGCTCAGACTGGAACCCTAGGGCCAATTCTCCAAAATTTGTGTCCTTCATAATGAGTTTTGAGAGCAACGTCTAGTGCTAGGTTGAAGAGAAAAGGTTGAAAATCCCATTTTTCAACCACCAACTCAAAGTTAGCTCTTTTGCTGATATTTTTGTTAGCTATATACACATAATAACATTTTCTTAAACCCTGATAAATATTTAAGCCACTTTGAGCTTGACCTAATTTGTTTTCCAGGAGTTCTGTGTGGCCAGTTGAACTAACCAGTATCAACAACACTGCCCCCAGAAAATTCTGGAAGTTTAATCTTAAAGGGTTGAATTGGTTCAACATGGTCCCAATAGCTCCTAAGGAAGTCACTCTTGATCAGGCTAGTTCAGGAACTGAACTTTTTTGGCAGGGACCAGAAGCTATAGTTCTTTTAAGGCCCCAAAGTCAATCTCTTTCTTGAGATTAATCATGCAAAACCTCATTCAAAAACTCCAATGGAGATGTTAGAAGGCAGCTGCTGGGATGAACTGGCTCCATCAGCTACAGGTGTGGGTAGAATAATGAGCCACATGTGGATAACTGAATTTCTGCCTACTGTATGATACTATGATAAATACATTTATTGAGTTCCATTATGTTCCAACCACTGTAGTTGGAACTTCTACAACCTAATTTAATCATCCTGTAACTACAATAGATATTTTTATCTCCATTTTACAGAGGATGAAACTTAAATTCAGAAATAAGTAAGTCAGCCACTGTTGCCTCACTCATAACTGGTAGAGGTACAATTTGAATTCGTTCTTTCCAAAGGTGTTTCCATAATAAAGACTATGATTTAGGTACTCTGCTGGGTTACAGGAATAGAGAAATGAGTACGGCAGGGATCCAACCATTAAAGATCCAAGTCTAGAATGTAGCCACTTTGACCAAAATCCTCAGGGGTTGTCCCAATTGCTTTTCTTGATCATTGTCCAGATGGCCTATGCCCAGACTCCTATCTGGGGCAGCAAAAATAGAAAACAAGAGTTGACATTAGATCACTTTATTGATGCTATGTGGCATATTATAATGTCTTCCAAACAAGAGAGTATTTACTGAGTTTGAAAATTCTACTCACCAGCAGCCTGTGTTCTATAGATTTTCCAATGAGTTATATTTAATATAACTCTAGAAATCAATTATTTTTGCCAGTAGTTATTTGTTCTAAAGAAAACTATTTTCTGAAATAGAAATCTATTTGACAAAGTTAAAACGTAATATATAGAGAGAAAGCAGTGTTTTTGTTGACGTGAGATCTTTTAGAGCATGAATATTACAGATAACCTATACATCTTTTTATTACTAAGCCTGAGATAAAATCATTTTAAATGTTCCTTACAAAATTTTAATTTTCTGTCAGGTCCAAATTGCCAACTACCATTGCCTCCAAGAAACAAAGCTCTATATCCTGAACATTTTCAAAATAATTATGTACTGTGTATGATAATAGTCTTTACTAAATTAGCTTGAATCTTCACCATGTGCTGTTAAGATCAAGCCAATCATTCACAATTCAAATCTAAGTAATTAGAATGAACTAATTTGTTTCTATGACCAGAATTTTTTAAATCTTAGTCATTTCATTCTTTGTTACTCAATTTCATATTTCATTTAGACCAGACTTTGATTTTTTTGTCGGTTGTACAAGCAATCTTAGTAATCCCTCAATTTGAAATGTATCTCTCTTCCACTCCATTACATTTCCCATTTTGTTTCAATTTATATGAAAGCAATTAAGATTCAGAAGTCAATGTGGCTTCTTTCTCCTCATTCTCTCATCTCCTTCTCCCGTGTCTCTTAACTCCCTTGTCCTTCTCTCCCTTGGAAGATAAGACTCATGGAGGAATCCAATCTGCAGCAGGCATGGCCTGAGGTCCTCCAGCATTTACCAGGGGCAGGGGGTGGTGTGCACTGTCTTCCCCAGACTCCTAAAGGCCTGAACTACTTCTCCTTGCTCATTCCTCCCACGTCTGCCTCCCTTCTCTTCTGTTCACTTTTCCTTCTTTATACGCCTTGTTTACTCTTTGCCGCCCTGATGCACTGCTTCCAAATTTTATTTAAATTTCTTTTAGCTGTAGTATACTTTCTTTATTAATAAATGTTCCTGTCTTGAGATGACTTAAAAAAAAAAACACTATCAAGGAAGAATGAAGTTTTACTACTTCCCTTGCAAAAGCAAAGCCTGCCAAATTGCTTTCAGAAAACATGTAAATCAGGAACCGGGTACCCTCAATACTGTTTCTCAGACAAAATCCACCAGTTCTAGGAGGCAGAAACTCTGTTTTCTACCACCGTACCCTCATGCCTGCCCCATTGCCTTTTACATAAGGACTTTTACAAAACATTGCTGTGTTGAATTAAGTTAACATGTCATCATTGTGCTGCCCAAGCTCCAGCTTGGAATGTTTTTGTTCCCTCAGTGCCCTTCGGCAAATGAACTGCCTTTATATGTGAGCTTCACATTATGTTTAGGGTTTTTTTGCTAGCAAATTATGTTTAGGGTTTTTTTAAGGAAAATTTTCTTTCACTCTGTTTATCTACTCTTTCCCTTATTTTGTAAAACATTTTCCCAGTATTTAAGCTAAAATTTGAGATTGCACATAAGAAAACTGAGCTATTTCTGACTAGTATTTGTTTATTCTTTGTTTTTTGGGGGGTTTTGTTATTGTTCTTTTTCTACTTTCTCCTTCTCCCCCCTCCCCACTTCCTCTTCTTATCAAGGTACAACATTGCTGGTGGCTCCAGACAAACTAGATAAACATTTAAGGCCTCTTTTAATCCTTGGACACTATGCCTCTTTTCTTTGTGAAATGGGATTTGGCTGTGAAATTATTTTTGCATTTGCCTACTAGGTATTAAAATATGATTTTTCTCATAAACTCTCAGTGAGAGCCACTTAAATAAATTTAGGCTTTATTTTCCATTGCCTTTGGATTCTAGAACCATCTGGTGCTTGGAGGAAAAGAAAGTACC